TAAAAAAAATGGTCCGTACAACTCAATTCAAAGAATAAATTTCATTTTTGGTCTTTAACTTTAATGTTTTACATAATTTTCATCTTTTAACTTTTTTATGTACTTTTTTAGTCCATTCTTCATTTTTTTTAATCCTTCTATCAATTATTTTGTTAAATTTGTCTAAATATACACATTTTTAGTCCCTTAATTTAAAGTGAATGGAAGAAAAATATGCATATATTAGAAGTTGAGGGATTAAAAATGATTATTTTAAACTTGTTTTCAATTTATAGAAATATGATGGTTTTAAATATTAGTATCCCTTATCTTATTTTAAAATTTGATATTTAATCTATAAAAATATATATTTATAGCGATAAATCCAAAACGGTATGTGAAAAATTTCGATATCCGGTGCGTACCGTTCCAGTAACAAAACTGGTACGCATACCAATACGGTATTGACTCCTTTGGGTGAAATACCTCTTAATTTGGGAAGTTGTAGAAATCTTTTAGAAGTCAAACTATCTTATAATAACATTACTAGTTCTATACCAAAAGAAGGTATAACTTCTACTATCACACACTTTTCAAGAAATTTCTTATTTGGGTTACTGCCTCTGGAGCTGGGAAATATGATCAACCTACTTGCTTTGGACCTTTCCCACAATAGATTATCTAGAGAAATTTCAAGCACTTTGGGAAATTGTCCCATGATGGAAGATTTTTATATGCAGGATAACTTATTTATGGGTAACATACCATCCTCCTTCAGTGCTTTAAAAAATCTTCAAAATCTTGACCTTTCAACAAATAATTTGTCTAGACAAATTCCAAAATACTTCCAAAATCTCACTCTACTATAATATTTGAATTTTTCTTTCAACGAATTTGAAGGAGAGGTTCCATATGAAGGGGTCTTTGGAAATGCAAGTGTAGTTTTAGTTGTTGGAAACCAACATCTCTATGGAGGCATTCAGAAGCTCGGACTCCCTCCATGTAAAGTCCAAGGCCTAAAGAAGAACAAAAGGTCTCACAATCTTAAAATTATGATTCTAGTTGTTTCCTGCTCGATCTTATTAGCAATGTTTTCGTTTCTAATTTTTTTAACTTGGGTAAAGAGATCTAAGAGGAAAGCCACTTTCGTGCTAGAAACACAAGAACCATTTCCAAATATTTCTTATGCAGAGTTAAGTCAAGCAACTAATGACTTATCATCAGCTAACTTGATTGGCGAAGGAAGTTTTGGCTCTGTTTATAAAGGAATCATGGGTGAACATGGAATGCTAGTCGTAGTGAAAGTGCTGAACCTTAAGCAAAAAGGAGCATCCAAGAGTTTTGTGACCGAGTGTGAAGCTATGAGAAACATTCGTCATTGGAATCTGATCAAAGTTTTGACTATCTATTCTAGCATAGACTTTAAAGGGGTCGATTTTAAGGCTATAGGGTATGAGTTCATGTAAAATGGAAACCTAGATGACTGGCTGCATTCAAATGAAGTCCAAGTGGGAGTTCGAAATTTTAGTTTCATCGAGAGACTGAACGTAGTGATTACAGTCACACATGCAATTGAGTATCTGCATCACCGCTACCAGCTAGCAATTGTTCATGGTGATCTCAAGCCAAGCAATATTCTACTTGATCATGAAATGGTTACTCATGTGGGTGATTTTGGACTGGCAAGATTCCTTATTTCCTCAAAGAAAACAAGCTCACTTGGTACAATAGGGACCATTGGCTATGTTGCTCCAAGTAATATTAGTTTTACCTTGAATTTGTGTAGTGAAAGTTATAGTTTAGCATCTAGGTGCTGACTAACGTGATGAAGTGTTCTCATGTTTCCTTGCTTTTGTTGCTAATCATTTCATTCAGAATATGGAACAAGCGGAAAGGCATCTATGGTAGGTGATGTGTTCAACTTTGGAATTCTTTATTGGAGATGATTACAAGGAAGTGACCAACTAATGGAATATTCAAAGATGGCTTGAACCTTCACCAATTTGCCAAACTAGCATTGCCAGAACGCATGATGGACATTGTTGAGCCTTCGTTGTTTCAAGAACTTCGAAGTACAAATGAAAACGTCAAGGATGCCTAAAGAAATAGAAGAGAAAGAAGAGTCAATATCAAGGAGATCCTCATTACCTTTGCCAGAAAAGGGTTTTTCTACTCAATGGATTCTCTGAATGATCAAATGGAGATGAATGATGTGGTTGCAGAATTATGTATTGTTAAAGATAAATTTCTTGGTAATCATTCATAGGTTTTGATGAAGGAATCAAGCAAGCTCTCTTTTTTGGAAAAACTTTGTTTACCTCAATTCTTTAGCTTTTCTGCTATGTCTGGTGTGATATATTTCTACTGGAATGTTCGTACCAAACTTTAAGATTTCTACTAGTGTGGGATGCAAGTTGGGTTCAGATGATAATGAATGCAAAACAGAAGATTGCACTCAACTGTTTGTTCTTTTCCTTTTCTAGTATTTGCAATTTTTCCTATCATGTACTCTTACCATATTAGCCAACTCTTTGCCATTTCCTTCTCACAGAACTTCTCCGTAAGAGTGCTGCTTTTTAAACTTAATTCAACGGAAAATTTCCATCAAAAGCAGCAGCTTCTTTGTCACTTTTCTCTCTCTCTCTCTCTTTCCTAGGATCAAAAGTTTTTACTTGCGTCATTCCTTTTCTCATTTTCTATTATAGCAATTTTAATTTGAAATCCTTTAAAAATTTGTAATTTTACTGAATAAATTGAATTCTTTTTTGAGTTTAAATTTATAGATTTGATTACCATTTTAATTAAACTAAAAAATTAAAATTCTTTTTTTATTGAAATTATTATATTACATAAAATTCTTCCTTTATTTTTTAACTTTTAAACCACTACTAGAATAAGGTGGACCCCGCCCGCATTTTAAAGTCCTCACTTCCCTCTTCTTCCATAATCAACATCAATCACAGCTCGTCATGATCCAATTAAAAGCTACCAAATCTGGCAACTTATTTTTCTTTTTCCCAAAAAAATGAAAAATAGTAGGAGATTGGTTTCATTAATCATTACCCAACTTGTAATATTAAACTTTTAAATTTAAAACCGAAAAAATTATCCAAGCCTTTTTTGTGTAGTACTTTTCGAGCCAAACACCTATGTGCAGTGGAAGCTAGAACAGTTGTCATTGGGCGTAAACCTCTAAGCCATCAAACTATTTGTCTCTGAGACTATTAATCTATAACAACATAACACTGAAGGGATAAAATAACAAATAAAGATAACCATCCATATAACTCATATTATGATAAGAATTTAGAACCTAAAGTGCTGGATAGTGCTCTTCATCTTCACGTTGTGTGTGACATATTTTGTATAGAAAAATATTGCCTTTTTCCTATTTGATTTGCTGAATTTGTACAGTATATATATACAATATTCTAACGGTATAATGCAATTGCTAATTAATTGCTTTCTGTAATTGCTTCCTAGAATCCAGGTCTTAATTGATATGCTGCGATGGCTGTGCTGTATATGTAGCTAATACCCCCCCCCCATCAAGTTGGAGCATGTAAGTTGTAGATGCCCAACTTGCGTAGAAGGAACTGAAATTGCTCTTTTCCCAATGCTTTGGTGAAGATGTCAGCAATTTGGAACCGAGAGCGGACATGTGAAGGTGAGATAACACCAGCTTGTATCCAAT